ACGATGAGCGGGAAGGAGGAGAAGGGTGGCAGTGGCGGATAGGCTAGGTCGCTGCCCGAGTCACCCCTGGTGAGTGACACAAGGGGCCTACACGAGGATCCTTTCCAAACCCACCAATTCCATAATTTTGTGATTTTAGGGCCTTGTGGGTAGCAAAAAAGTCAGACTATTATAGGGTATGTTTTTAGTGATGTCTACAGGTGATTTGGAGAGTTATTATAGACAACATGTTTCAACACTAATGTACATGCCCTTAGCCAAAGGCATTGGTGTGTTTTCTGCGGAGATTCTACGTGGAGTGGGTTGTAGCCGCGCTCTCACCTCACCTCTCTTGTCCGGTGATCTCATTGCTAATTAGAAGAGTGGGGGCACATCGCTATGCCCTTGTTTTCCTTAGATTTTGTTTCCCTAGCAGTACCGACAAGGTAGTGGCGGCGATAGCGCATTGGAATAAGTTCTCTCCAGGCTCTCCCTACCTCGACGATTGTCGATCAGACGCCGATGAAGGGCCTGCAAGGGCAGGTGTTGCCAGATTTTGTGGTTGTCTTCATATTCAATATGTGAAATCAAAGTGGCGATCAGATAGGTACATATACAAATGAGAATCCGGAAAGTGTTGGTTCGATCAAGGGAAGTAACTTGGCTCTTTGTGCAATGATTTCGACCTCTTCTTTTGATTTGTTACTATAGCATGGTTCGGTTTCTCCAACCCTGCGGGTCTGCGGTGAAAGATGTTCATTTCATTTCTAGCGACAGGTAGCTATTGCGGCCTTCAAAGGCTGGTATTAAGAGGGTGTACATTTCTCTTATTGTCAGTTTGGTACAATTTTTTAAGCTTCGACGAGCAGCATACAATCGAAGGAAGAAGACAATCAGCATGGTTTGGTTGTAATTTTATTATTTGCTGGTTGTTTTATGTCTTGTTGTCTATCCATTGTACTGGCTATATATTGTTTTCCTTGATGATCATTAGATATAAATTGACCGTCTTTCCTAAAAAATAATATCAACTTCTATTATAGTGCTCATCTCTTTCAGTTCAGGCAACGTTCGGGTGTCCGGGCAGGTTGTTCTCCCCTTGCCCTCTGTTCCGGCATAACAGGGTATTCTTGTGCACCTTCCGGTGATGTCGACATAATTACGTCCACGCCCAGAATAACTAGTCAACAGCACACACCTAATATTACACATTAGTGCTGTCGGGGTCTAGGGTATGTTTGCCTGCTACCCAAAATCAACTCTACCAACTTTGTGGTTATGACAAACAGGCTTTTGCCTTGCCCGTCGGGCTCATGCCATCTTGCCTACTTTGCTTCATTTTCGGTGCCAATATTGGCTAAATCTGGAGCAAGCAAAACATACCGCGTTATATCAAATCAGACCCAACTCCCTTCGCCGAAATTACTAAAAGACATATTTTAGGTGGCAAGAATGATGATGTGACTCATGTGACGCAAGCAGGAAACAATAGGATATGTTCATCTCATTGTACGAGCAACAAGCTACGTTGGCTCAGGAGTCAAGAGTTAACATTTGTGATCATGTATAAGGTCAATTCTGAATTTTGCAGATGTGGCGGCACCCACCCAACCACATGCTAATGGAAATTCACCTCTATAGATTCAGTTATTTCGTCATAACAATCCTCTCTTTTTTTTGTGATGGAGAATCCCGCAAGGACCTATACAGGGTAATATGCACACCCATGGCACCTACTACTTGTCACGAACTGGCGGAAAAAGACCTGGACTGGAGAAAGTCTCAGCACACGGCAGGCTGATGGAGAGTAACAGGGGGCGATCCAACATCTGCAGGCCGAAGGTTAGCGCTTCTTGTTTCTTGTTAGAAGAGCTGAAAGAAGAGGGTCGTTGAACCGTCGCTGAATGACCGAATGTCCCCTGGCTTCACCAGCGCCCTGCATAACGGGCATGTCCGCTCCCGCTCCAACCTGCCATCATTCAGCGAGCGATGAGAAGTTCCAATTTGGTAACTGTTACTCCCTCCGTTCCAAATTACTTGTCTTAGATTTGTCTAGATACGGAGGTATCTAGCACTAAAATGAGTCTAGATACATCCGTATCTAGACAAATCCAAGACAAGTACTCCCTCTGTTCGGAATTACTTGTCTCGGATATGGATGTATCTAGAACTAAAATACATCTAGATACATCCGTTTCTGCGACAAGTAATTCCGAACGGAGGGAGTAATTCGGAACGGAGGGAGTAGATGCCAGCAAAGCATCAAGAACCAGATGACAAAATGTGTATGTGATATATACCATTCAGAGGCACAGTCTTCGCAGAAGATATGTTTACACTGCAGGAGGATGGGAGTATGCATCTTTTCTTGGCATATAGCACACAGATCTCCAGCAGCAAGAACCTGCATACCATATAGTGAAATGAATGCAGACTTTAGCTAGAAGCTCCAGAGATATAAACCAAGGATGCATATGCCACCACCACATTTCACTCATGCGCCTAGAAAGCCTAACACTGCATTACCTGCTCAGTTGTTGCATGTGAACCATAATGCAAGTCCTTATGAGACAGCGCATTCACTGAAGCCAAAAGTGATCGAACCTGATAGGAAGCAGCAGTGATGTCAGCTATTATAAACCCAGAATTGGTTAAGAAATGAAACAAAGGAATTAGAAGTACCTTTTCCACCATTGATGCCACCTTGAAAGTAAGGTACAATCCAGTTGTTAAAGATGAAAAAAGACTTCCATATTCCTTGTTCAGGAAAAAACGATACCACACAGGAGCCGGCAACAACGCACGGTACAGAAGTAGGGAATATTCCACAACTGTCAACATTTGGCCCTAAAGAGAAAGTTGAGTTACAACGAGAAATGCTTGGCTGTACATCTCTCTATCAAAACTGGTAAAAATTACCTAAGTAGCTGAACAATGATAATGTACAGCAGATTACCTGTCTACGATAGTGACGACCTTTGCTGTTTTTGTAGTACATGAGCAGCACACACTTGACCACCATAGCAGCTTGCCGGACCATTGTATCTGTGGAGCACAAAACAGCAGTCAGCCTGATTACAAATTTTAAGGAGGGCAGTGCTAGTTTAAGAGTTATGAACAGATAGAAATGGTGCATAAATTCCTATTATTCAACAAACATAAGTTATTTCCAAGTGAAACACAGGGCAATGTTATCAGCTTCAAAACAATACAGAACACACAGGTACATACATCGTCAAGTTTTTCCACCAATGGGTTACTGATTGAGTTCAAGAAATGACCAAGGGCCTCATTGGTTCACAGGACCAAAAAACTCATAAATAGGAAAATGATTGGGTTGCAATGTCATGCCCTCTCATACAATATGATCGAAATGATGTTTGAGTGCATCATAGAAAACCATAGGCGTTTCTCAAGGGCGCATATTACAATTATATGGAATAATTTGAAGCAGAGAGGCCCCAAAAGGGGAAATCATGCTGTGTGGGTAAAAGGGAATACCATTCACCGCAATGAAAAATATAGCATGCCAGAATGGTGGTATTTCTTTTGGAGGAAGCATCACCAAAGGTCTAACAAGGTCATCATTCCTGTACCACCAGTAGACTCCAAAGACGTGAATGGTGAATACTACTACAATCCCGATAAGCATTGGCATTTTCCTCTCCCCCTGAAATAAGAAAAATAAATACAAGTGATAGATCAGCTGAAGATCTTGTTTAATTGACATTCACCGCATCAACTTAAAGGGGAAACGACATGACAATCACATTCTAGAGCACATATCCATACCAAAACATCTAAAATGTTTCCAACTCTTCTAAGCATGGACAATCAAATGGAGCTATCTAAGCAATTTGGCAATCAAATGGAGTTAATACGGGCCCCAGCATTAGGGATGTAGTGACGGCAGCAGTCTGCCAGCCGGCTTCCTCAATAGAAGGGACATACCCAGTGCTAGAAGCTCCCACCCCAGGGGGTTTGGCGAAGGATTATACAAGGCAAGCCTTACCCCTGCACGGTGCAATGCATAGAGGCTGCATCTAACCCAGGACCTCTTGGTACACAGCCTGCTTCCTTAATGACGCATAAAATTACTATGAGGCTCACTGCACAGTTTTAGCGGCACTCAGCCCACAAACACCAGCAATTGGTTCCATCAGCAACAGCCTAGCCCCAACCCTCGTATTGCTAATTAAGAGTGTCGCCTTTCCTGGCGCCAGAGCATGTGCGCAAGTCTAGCTAAAGAGGCTTCAATAGTTCAGTGAGGCGCCAATTATACATCTACGCGTTGTTCTTCGTGTGCTGTAAGGACGCATGGTCATTGTGGATTATTCTCGGAGTTGGAATAGATTGTCTTATAGGCTTAGACATCCATAGGCGTTATCAATTACTCTTAGCTGTACACATTCATTTCCGAACATATGAAATGACAACCAAACCCTTCATGTTTCTTTTCAAATCAAATAATGAATGATGTGCATTCTTGGCAGACACCGCGTTGCCAAATGTTACATGCGCAGACGCATATGCCCACATAAAGGCTCGTGGCCAGCTTGCAATTTGCGGCATCCTGACACAAACCTAATGTAGCTATGGCGCTGACAGCAGCAGAAGGGTTTGCAGAGCAGCTGTGCATCATGATGTTACATATGATAAGAAGATATTGTCACATTTCTGCTGGCAGTTGCTGAGCAAAACTAACATGATCAAGCAATATGACATCCAAACAAAACCTCTAGAAGCATACCAATTAACCTCTACACTAGAACCAGAACAATAACGTTGGTACACCAGATAAGAAGCACAAGCCCTTGAGAGCAGTCTGCTTGCCAGAACAATTAATTAACCTCTAGAAGCAGAACAAGCACGTTGATAAGACAAGTTATTATGAAGCACAAACCTTGAGAGCGGTTTGCTTGCGCAAGATATCATTGGACTTGAACATGACTGCGGCAATCCAGATCATGACGAAGAAACCTACACAATATAAACTCAATTGGAATGAGGAACTCGCCATCATCTTCTGACCAGCGACTTCTCCACGCTGTGAAGCAGGCGCGCAACAGAATGGATCGAACCAAACTCGAATCACAATTCACGCGTACAGCGCCTGGTGAGGCAGGCAAACCCTCACGCTACATAGAGATAGGGTAGGTGCTGCACGGGGATTCGCGTACCTTGCAGGTGCTGGCGGATGAAGACGCCGAGCAGGAGCAGGGAGAAGGGCAGCGCGTGCTCCACCCACCTGGCCAGGCGCTGCACGTCGTAGCCCTGGTACGGCGAGTCCCCCCTCCCGCTCGCGCCGCCCGCGCCGGCCTCGTCCCCCCGCGCCGCCGGGGCCTCCTCGTCCGCGGGCTGCTGCCCTCCTCCCGCGTCCCCCGCGCCAGCGCCAGGCGCGTCGTCGGGCCCGGCGATCCGAATCGACACCTCCCCGTCGGCCCCCGCGGATGGCTCCCCCCGCTGGGCGCCCCCGCCGCCGCCCCCGCCGGCCTGGGCCCGCAGGACGCCCGAGGAGTACTCGAGCAGCGCGGAGAGCGGCGCGTGGATGAGGCCGGCGGGGGAGAAGCGCTGGGCGTAGCCCCCGTGCGCCGGCTGCGGCGGAGGCGGGGGCGGCGGGTCCATCGGGGCGGGTGGGCGTCGCCGTGCGATGGCGCGACCCGGTCACCGGCTGGCGGTGCGGTGCTGTGGGGGTGGAGGGGAGGCGTGGAGCCGCGCTCGCAGCCGAGGGCCGAGGCGAGGGGGGAAAGGGGAAGAAGGAAGGGGGTTTATGTCCTCGTCGCTCTTGAGTTTGGATTTTGTGGGCAACAGAATGAGAATTCGATCGATCGATGGTTCCTTCGTGTGGGCGATGCTCCTGCGTTTGGCCCCCCCGCTTTCGATGGTCGTCTATTGGTATTTCGCTTGTGGGTGAAGGGATTCGTCGGCGTCAAAGGCTCCAACAGACCGATCCCAACGTTGCTATCCCTGGGATATCATGTTTGGTCAATTCTCAATTGTGCTCCCAAATTCAGATCACCCTACTGGTAATTCTAGGGATTTCAAACAAGGAAGTGGGGAAATGGAATGGCAAACTGACATGAATTTTTTATTTTTTATTTTTAAAAAGAGAAACTGAAACGCGGTTCGGATGCATCAAAGACACCAGCAGACGAAACACCAACCAACTGAACGAACTAGGCGTCCTGAAAGTGTATACTCCCTCCGTCCGGTAAAGAGTGAACGTTTGGCTTTAAAATTTGTTCACAAAAAAGTGTACTTCTATCTTCCCAATACATTTTAAAGTAGATAAAAATACTTCTCTCTCATCACACAGTAATCAAGACCAATAAGAAGCTACACATTGTCTTCTTAATTTTTACATGCGCTTAGCTCATTGGAAGTTGGTTAATTAAAGAGTGGAGAGATGATGACTTGCACTTTTCCAATGCATTTTTTACTTCACTCCATAATTTATCCTAAAATCTATTTTTTACTTCACTCCATAATTTGTCCTAAAATCTCTAGATGTTCACTCTTCACCGGACGGAGGGAGTACTACTCTACTAAACGCCAGCAAAATTGACCGGCAGACGATACACTAACCAGACATCCGGAAATTGTATACTGCTTCAAAAAGACCCTTACAAAAAAAATAAGGTGCAAAGGCCAGAATTTTGCTTCACTCTTCACAGAATGTTTCAAACCATGTGAACGTATAACATTTTCCTTGGGTAGCTTCACAAAATGAAGCATCAAATTCAAACACAGGACAACAACCACAGCAAAATACATTGACAAACGAATTCAAGTAGTAATGATTCAACAGGCCATTCATATTAGTACCATCATCACAAAATAGATAATATCTTCCATAACAAGGTTCGACACAACATTCAGACAAAATAACATAGCACCACAGGCACTTGGAATCTAAGTTCCACACGGTAAAATAAGTTTCGATAGAACGGATAGACTTCTTCTGCTAGATTATGCAGCAGACAGGAAAGCTTGTCCAGGGGCACGGTTTGCAAGGCGGCCATGGCATCCGAGCAGCTGCAAAGCCAGACATGAAACAATTAGATGATGCAGGGACAACAGTTTACCAAGGCAGGATAAATAAGTTCATCTTCAAAACAATTGCCCAGGATCAAGTATATCTACCTTAGCGTTGACTCCATCAGGCAAGATCCTGCCCTCACTCTTGAACTTGAGGTAGTCATTGCGGTTGAACTTGGTGAAGCCCCTGAAAGAAGCAGCACAAAATTAGAGATATGGCACACAGAAATTTTGACAAGAATATCATCTCAGCACATGAAACAATCTTCAGTGCTTACCACTTCCTGCTCTCAATGATCTTTTGGCGGCCAGGGAACTTGAACTTGGCACGACGAAGGGCCTCAGTAGCATGGATGGCATTGTTGGGCTTGCACCGCACAGAAAGGAGGACCTGCCCAATGGCAACACGGGCACAGACTCCCTGCGGCTTCCCAAAAGCACCCCTCATACCAGTCTGGAGCCTATCAGCCCCAGCACACGAAAGCATCTTGTTGATACGGAGCACATGGAACGGGTGAACCCTGACCCTGAGGTGGAAGGCATCCTTTCCTGCATGCTTAGTCATGTACTTGTTGCAAGCAATACGGGCAGCCTCAAGAGCCTCACTGGACACATTCTCCTTCTCCCATGAGACAAGGTGAACACAGTGAGAGAACTCATCGACACCCTTCTTCTTCATGCCGACATCATAGATCCTGATCTTAGGGTCAGGCACACCACGGCAGTACCTTGACTTGGGGTATGGCTTGTTCTTGATCTGCCGATAGCACCTCGCAGGTCCTGACCAGAGAATTTTGTCATTACCAGAACAGAACAACTAAAAGCAGCAAACATGCAAAATAACATTTTAATTTGCAGTGAACATTCAAAAGAATGTGCAACTCAGTTAAGACACTGCTTCTTTCCAGGTACAGAGAATGAAACAGTTTAATTTGCACCACATTCAACTCTAGATATGAGCAACATGTACAATCAGACTCAATTTAAGATAGGTTACCATTGACAGGGAAAGAAGAGATTACTAACTACCATGATTCAACATGAGCAGTTGGCAAGTTGATCAACAACTAGCCACAACAACTACTCATTCAGCTTCATAGAATATCATTGGCCATACAACCCTACCAACAGCAGCAGTGCTTAGAATAACTTAAAAGCAAGAGCATACAGATCTTCATTTCCTAGCATAGTACATGAAAGAGCACAGGAAATATCAACATCCGAGAAGCCTAGAGCATTTTTCGGGCACCATTTAACAAACAGACACTAAAATGAAACGAACAGAGTATGACCCGCAGCTTGAACTACTCAAATGTTGTTTCGAATCACCACATGAGAACAGCTACGGGCATGAATTTATCTTGCCAAATCCACCAGACAGAAACTAAATAAACATCGGGAGTAACACATACCACAGGTTCCGCGCGGCTACGACGGATCTAGGCCAGATTCACACGCAACCGCGCCAATTCAAACGATTGCACGAACCATAGCTACGGCCAGATGAACGCTAGACTAGAGTAACATACACGCAAGGGCGAGAGGGGGAGGGTAAAGCGCGTGCTTACTTCTCCCCATGGCGACGGCGGCTCGAGGCAGGCGGCGGCTGCGGCGGCGGCGGGAGACGGAAGAGCTGCGACTAGGGTTTGGTGTGGATCCACGGGGCCGCTTATATAGAGGTGGGGATTGCGAATGGGTTGCTGTCCTGGCTGGGGTTTCCGCGTGGAGGTGGTGCTATTGGACTTGGACTGTCCATATTGGGTCTGCGTCATGCGTGACCGTGGAGCTATTGGGCCTGAGGAGAAATTAGTCCAGGCCCAGAAAACACCAGAAGATTCGGGCCACACTTTACTCCCAGTATTAGCCGTTGGATTTTTCAATCGTTCGGCTCAAATCGGTTTGCTTTAACCCGTGTCATATATTGGACTTGGACTGGCCGACGTTTGCGTCATGCGTGACCGGGAGTTTGGGCCCCAGGAGGAAATGGTTTAGGCCCAGAAGCACCACATTCGTGTCATGATTAGCAGAAAACTATCACTTCACGATTTGTGACATTTCGCACCGAACCGAAAATCTGACGGTGACAAAAACATTGAGCCTTTTTAGCACATTTTGACATGGTTGATCCCTCGTGGTTCGAGTACGTCGACGGCGCGCCATTAACAGCTCTGTCCGAAGCGACTGGGGCGGCCCAACCCGAGCGCTCCCTCCGTCACTCCCGTCCCTCGCTTTCTCTCCCTCAAGTTACTCCTCTCCCTCTCCTCTCTCTCTCTCTCTCTCTCTCTCTCTCTCTCTCATGGGCATGGCGGTGGTGGCGGCTCCGAATCCATCGGCGAGGTAGTGGTGAGGACAAGGCGTGGTGGACAGAGCATGAAGCGTGGTTGGCCGGCATGGCGGGGGCGTCCTTTGCAAGGAGGGGATGAAGATTGTTGTGGCAACACCATATTCATTTTAGAGTAGTTCATCATCGCCAGTGCCGGCGGCAGCAGCTCTCGCCCATGCCCTCACGGTGATAGTCGAGCCCCTAGGTGAGTTGCCTTCCTTTCTCCACTAGCAAATGTCGTTGCTGGAATTCTAGGGATCCGGATAAGTGAAGTATGGTTTGCTGGAATTGTAGCAAATTTCGTTGTTGGACCTAGTTAACTGGATCTTGTTGTTGTTGTTTGTGACTGAATGGACCAGAACTTGTTTGACTGGATCTTGTTGTCTTGTTTGACTGAATATTGTTGTCCTGTTTGACTGGATTTTAGAACTCTAAATTAACTGAAACATGTCTTGTTTGACTGAATTTTAGGACTCTAAATTAACTAAAACATGTCATGTTTGACTGAATTTTAGGATTCTAAATTAACTAAAACATGTCATGTTTGCTGAATTTTAGGACTCTAAATTAACTGAAATTTGTCTTGTTTGACTGAATTTTATGGTTCTGAAATAGAGTTTTAGACTATCTATCTGGAGTACTCATCTAACTTGGTGCCTTCAAATGGTTAATCATTCTAAGGTTAGTTACTTTACCGATTGATATATGTAGTTTGCATTTGAAAAATCCTTATGCGATGCATGTAACTGACACTAAATGCCACTATTGAATTTTGCAGGGTGTTGTGCAGTGGGTACATGAGTAAAATTTGGGTTGAGTGGTGCAGTGGACAAGTTGACCAGAGAAGGAGTGAGTCATTGTACATGTTTTAAGTGACTTTACTGATGTGAAATGTTAGTACGTGTGCTCAATTTAATGTTCAAACTAGTTTCAAAGTTGTGTTGATTAAAGACATCAACTGAACCTACCTAGGAGAGAGACAACATGCAATATCCAGACTTGTAATGTTCAGACTATATTCAATCAAACTATGAAATACTACAAAATAGAAGGATTCTCTGTTTCATAACATTTTATCTTTGCATTGACACCTAGAGCACACCTATACTTCCATGGAAAACTAACTGAAGAAAGACTAGGTTGAAACCTATAGTTTCATGATAACATTTTATTTTTGCATTGACACCTAGAGCACACCTATGTTAACCTGAACATGTTCTTTGCATTGAAACCTAGAGCACCAAAGTTTAAGATTTAGATAATATGACCACCAAAGTTTTATCACACATAACTTGTCTTGAAATATTCAGATAATATGAGCACGATGACATTTCTTGTGATATTCAAATAGAGGAGTTTCATTAGACGCAAACATACATGGTTGTTCAGAAGCAAACACACAATAAAGTTTCATCACACACAAATATTCAGATAGATAGCTATCATAGATAGATGAGTTCTCTAGATAGATAGATAGATATCATAGCACAATTTGGATAGAAAGGGTACTCAGATGGAAAGCACACATAGTTCTTCGGACACAGTTAAGTTCAGAAACTAACATAACACATATATTGGTTCAGATCTTGCTGTAGAAACTAACTAAGACCTAGGTGCTGCATCAAACTCACTCTTGTTGTAGCTTGAGAAGATGGAGCGATCGATGAAGTAGCACATGGATGCGCTGCTTCTTCTTCTTCTTCTTCCTTTCGTTGCTTGTGCCAGTCTCCACCTCTGCTGCTCCATCTGTTGCTACTCCACCTACGGCAGCTCCATCTCCATCAGAGCGACGGGCAGCACTGGTACCACTGTATCGAGCTTGTAGTCTAGGTGGAGTTAGTCGTGGTTCTGGTACATGTACCGGCGTGACCGCTAGAATGGATCCGAGGAATCCCTGACCTCTCCCATCGCCCGGACCAAGTTCTCGATGAGTGGGCGGTGGAGTTCTGGCATTCATGACTTCTCCTCATGCGTGGCGCAGGCCCTCACCGCGCGCGCATGATTCTTCAGGACTGCAACATTGATGTACCAGGTTCTCACCTCATGCGTGTAGGAAAGCTTGATGTTGTTGCCGTCGAAGGATCTCCTGCAGAACCTAGTCCCATCCGAGGCCAAACGCCATGGAGCGGTGGAGGTTTTCTTATTGTGGTTGTGGAAGAGAGAAGTTGGATGGAGTGGCTCGGCTGATGGTTATCTGTGCGAGGGGAAGAGTGTTGGGAAATGTAGTAGAAAACAAAAAAATGCACCTACGATCACTGTACCCAAGATCAATATGAAGATGCATAACGGGTTGAGATCACGATCGTTACCGTCACTGAGTTGCAGCGGAAGAAGAATGTGTCGACGTAGATCGTACTTGGTGTCCCTCGAACCGTCGATGAACGATCCCTCGCACCGCCCACAAACAGTCCCTCGAACTGAAGACCGAAAGCACGACCTCTCTAGTTGGTTGCAAGCGTGCATCCTTCACGATCCGGCAACGCTTCACCGTCCAGAGCTAATCGTCATCCAAGAATTAGAGGGAGGAGATTAGAACTACACATGGCTTCTAATAATGGGGACAGGAGGATTATCCTAGCTCTGATTAGTCAACTAGAACGGGTAGAACTAGAGGAGGCTCCAAAACTTGTATGAACAAAAGAGCACAAATCCTCATGTATATATAGGATGGAGAGGAGAGGGAGCTCTGCCACCAAGGGGGAAAGACCAGGGAGGAGGAGTCTGACTCCTCCCCCTCTCCCAATTCGGCCTCCTTCCTTAGGCGAAGGAGGCACTTTCCCACTTGGGCCTTTTTGGCCCAAGTTGCCTTCCACCTCTTGGCCTTTTTAGGCCCGTTCATATTGAAGGAAATATGCCCTAGAGGCAATAATAAAGTTTTCATTTTATATTTCCATATATCATGATAAATGTGTATTACTCATGCTAGAATTGTATTAATCGGAAACTTGATACATGTGTGGATACATAGACAAAACACCGTGTCCCTAGTAAGCCTCTACTAGACTAGCTCGTTAATCAAAGATGGTTATGTTTCCTAACCATAGACATGTGTTGTCATTTGATGAACGGGGTCACATCATTAGGAGAATGATGTGATGGACAAGACCCATCTTCTAGCTTAGCATAATGATCGTTAAGTTTTATTGCTACTGCTTTCTTCATGTCATATACATATTCCTTTGACTATGATATTATGCAACTCCCGGATACCGGAGGAATACCTTGTGTGCTATCAAATATCACAACATAACTGGGTGATTATAAAGATGCTCTACAGGTATCTCCGAAGGTGTTTGTTGGGTTGGCATAGATCAAGATTAGGATTTGTCACTCTGAGTAACGGAGAGGTATCTTTGGGCCCTCTCGGTAATGCACATCATAATAAGCCTTGCAAGCAATGTGACTAATGAGTTAGTTGCGGGATGATGCATTACAGAACGAGTAAAGAGACTTGCCGGTAACGAGATTGAACTAGGTATGAAGATACTGACGATCGAATCTCGGGCAAGTAACATACCGATGACAAAGGGAATGACGTATGTTGTCATTGCGGTTTGACCGATAAAGATCTTCGTAGAATATGTAGGAACCAATATGAGCATCCAGGTTCCGATGTTGGTTATTGATCAAAGATGTGTGTAGGTCATGTCTACATAGTTCTCGAACCCGTAGGGTCCGCACGCTTAACGTTTGATGACGATTTGTATTATGAGTTATGTGTTTTGGTGACTGAAGATTGTTCGGAGTCCCGGATGAGATCACGGACATGACGGGGAGTCTTGAAATGGTCGATAGGTAAAGATTAATATATTGGACGATAGTATTAGGACACCGGAATGGTATTAGAGTGTTTCAGATA